TATGAATTTAGCGACAGGCTGCAATCACGCCTCTTTTCTAAAACGTTTCTGCTGACACTTTTTGCCCGTGTATCTCGTGGGACACGTGCACAGTATCAGGTCCGGTGACATATTTCAAAGAGTAATCCCGTCCTGTCACCCAAAATAATCACACACACATACTCACCCCTGAGCACGCCAGCCAGGGAACATTCCGTACTGCTCTCTCTACACTCAGGCAGCGCAATACATTTCTGCTGACACTCATTGCCTGTATACCCGGTAGGACACTCGCACACCGTGTCGGCTTCAGTCGTGCATGCTTGAATGATGGATCCGGTGCCGCAAGAGCCACACTTTTGACACGTCTTTGTGGCTGATGTTCAAGGTATGAGGTGGTCAATAAAAATTGAAGAAAATTATATTTATAGAATATATTCCTAAGCCGAGGCTGAAGGGCAGGGTACAGTTGATGGAGAGATATTATTGAGAGCTATGTATAAATCTCATTATTCGAAATCGTGACTGTAATTCAGGGTCTAGGTGGTGAAACAATATTGAAGAGAGTTGAGTATATAATACTTTCTTAAAGCCCACACTCATTAATGGAGTTGATAACTTTCCGTGGATGAATTATAGGGAAGTGAATATTAGTACTTTGTGAGCGTTATATACATATGATATGTGCTTTTAATATTACTGCACTAATGGAGAGGACAGTGCTAACGAATACGTAGGTATGTGTCTGATGATTTGCATGTTGAACAACACATTTCCGAGAGTTTTACACCTACATCATATATTTCTTTATGCATACACCAATGAAGGTAGTAAATGCCAAGCCCATTTACGCGGGTCCACACATTCCCACACACGCACGTCGAACTGATATAAAAAGATAACACCCACACATTTACATTGCCATGCATCGGTACATACCGGTATCGGTATATGTTCCTTCCTCGCAATCCAAGGAACATGAAAACTGCGCTGCCAGCATCTGGTCTGCGTCGCTGATGAGCGGCTCCGTATCATCAAAGAATGTCAGGTCATGGCAGTAACACGAACTGAACTCTGTCCAAGGATTCCCGCCATAGAATAGCCATAAAGAACACAAACATTCAGATTTTGAAGGATTTATGTATAAATTCATATAAAGAATGTGCCGGAATGATATGTTTCTTTGTTTTTTTAAAAATACAAAACGAGTACACACTGGTAAACTAATTGAAGTGACATATATGATTGTGATAGAGCCTATGAAAGCTGTGCTCGGATGCTTATGAGGACATACTTGGCTAGTCGTATCAAATATAAATATGATAGATACGACAAATATGACAAATATGTTCTAAAATCCATGCAAGCACATACCTACGATGCTGTCCAGGCAGCCAGCATCCCATGAGCTTACCAGAGAATCACACTGCTCTATAGCATCGTTGTTGTGCAGCACATTACCGAACCACGGCTCCAGCGTGACTTTCCCGGTCAGGAGTTCTGTTTAAAGATCGGAATAAAAATGAAGTGAGAGTCGTCAGCCTACGACAGTGCATTCTTACTGCAAGTGAGAGTAAGGTGGGTGTACGAGTCTACGATCAAAAACAGTGGCTGTCCACGCAAACTAGCAGATACACCAGCCATGATGATCCATTCAACCCAGTTCCACAGTGTCAGCACAACAGCTAGGCCACAGACAATCCGTGTACAGCCCAGACATTCACACCACAAGCATGATCACAAGAGCCAGGAGTAGAATTTTGAATACGTACACACACAC